AAAAAAAAAACAAAAAAGCCCAACAAAACCTGAGCTACTCTTAACAGAATTTCTTCCATTTTGGAAGCTCCCTGTATTTTCCACACATCCTCCACCTGCTTCTCCACACAAATCCAGGCCCAACCTCATTCCTCAATCCTACATTCTCCTGCTATTCCTGCAATGCAATGCTGCAGCACAACTATTTGAGAGCCCTTTCCTGGAGTATTCCCTCCTTTTTTTAATCATTCCCAATTTAAGTATCTGCACAAAGCCCCGATTCCTCGTGGGTACTGCCCTGACATGTGGAGTGTGGGAGGAGGAGGAGGAGGAGGAGGATTTTTCCAGACAGGAGGATTTTTCCAGTGAGCTATGCTCTGGATGCTGTGAAGTGTGTCTAGACATCACCAACGTGTCAAAACTAGTCTGTCACACACATGCTGCTCTGATGACATCACCCAGGGATGGGGACTCCGTTTTGTCAATCATTGAGCCCAAAGTCTCTCTCTAGCAAAGTCTTTTTGCTTTGTAAGTGTGAAGGCGAGGTAAGATTTCACTGGGCAAAATTATTATGCCTTTATCATATCATATATTGTATTATATATTATTACATTATTGTATTATTGTATTACGTGTAGTATGATAGTACAGTATGTTATATTATATTATATTATATTATATTATATTACATGACACTATTATATTATAATGGATTATTTATACATTATTCTATTCTATTCCATTCCATCCTTTCCCATACTGAATCCAAGCATGGTCAAGGTCTCTTGCTGCACTCAGTCACATTCTCGGTTAGTTAAAATCACACTATCCAGGTAATTTTTATAACCTGTTATAAAACCTTGCCAGATTTTCAGTCTGGCCTTTCAAAACGGCCTGTTTCAACCTGGATCCATGCATTAACACACCTCTTGGCYCTGTTTGTTTGTCTGAATTTTAAAGGACTCACAGGTCCCACTTCAAGCGGTGCCTCTGGGACTTTTGGACRGCTCTAACCCCCTGCACTGTGGCTGCTCAAGATCAGCAACTGGTCAAAACTGTGTTTTTATGGTGGGTATTCTTTGATTAATACATTTAGCAATTTATGAGATCACATTTTGAGCAGATTCCAGTGTAAGATTGTGGAAATGTGTACAAGCACACACACAAATTACCTGAAGCTACCTGAAAGTGAAGACAGTAACTTCATAACAAAATAAACATGGAGTAGTGTCACGAAGAACAGCATTCGATGGCATAAGGCTAATAGTATTATATCATAATGCACTCAGGTAGCTTCTACTCTTTTTTGCCCTCCTAAGCGGCTGATGGGAAGTCACATTACAGGTTGTGAAAGAGAATTAAACCAGAGAAATTCTGTCTCTTTTTATTATTTAATAAAATATTACAGATAATATTTTATATTAAAAAGGTGAGTGCTGGCTCTAGAAGCCTCACTAACTCAGGCTGACAGGCAATGGTGAGACAGGCCTTGTCAAAAAGCTAATATCCAGAAAAAATGAGCAAATAATAGATAGGTTTGGTCTCCCAGAGCAAAGCAGGAGCTCTCCCTGCCTGTGCATATGTATCCCCTGGAGATTTCCACTTCCTACCCCCAACAATCACAAAAGACATGTTCTTCTGAGCAGAAAGTAGAAAAAACAGCAGGTAAGCTGTAACCAGCAACAACTAATCAACTTGAATTGTAGACACAGAGTATTAMGTACTTCAAACAAGGTGCTTACAATCCATCAACTGAGATAGGAAGAAAGAGCAGACAAAAAAAAAAGTTTGGGGAATAAAACAGTAGTATGACTATCTATCTGAGGAAATCACAATCTCACCTCCAACTACTTTGTGTAAAAGCACCACAGAAAAGAAGGAAAAAAAAGAACAATTCTATCAACCTACAAGGCAATAAAGAAAAATGTTATTTTATAAAAGAATGGATACTAAAGAATAATAGCATGTATCAGAAATCACAAATAATACCCAAATTGCTGATTTTCAGAGCATAAACATGCTTTCCTCACTTAAGGTTTGTTTTTCATGYTGACTCCTCGTAGTTAAATGGAAGGAGTCCACAAAAACAGGTGATGTGAAACATGGTCCTTGCAGCATTGCAGCATCACACTGAGAGAGCAAGTCTGGAAGACTCCAAGAGGGGTAAATTAAACCTTACTGAGGATCAAAGAATTCTCCGAACTTCAAAGCTCAGAAATCCCTGTGAGAACTAAAACTCCCTCCTAGAGATACAGGGAACATTTCATGATAGCTGTCTTCCTGCATGGTTCCATATTGTCTTCAAGAACTCTTGTTCTCCACCAACAAGAGGGTGCAACAAGTGCCAAACAAAAATTTTGGTGACTGATTAGAAGTAGACAGTTCTTAAAACCACAATGTAAAGAAAAGACTTTGTGAGGACATTTTCATACAGGACAAAATACTTGAAGAGCAACTTAAGAAAAGGTTGAGACACTGAAATGGCAGCAGAGTTTCTGCACGAYTGATCCTCTTCTTGGCTGCCTGAACGAAGCCTTCTGAATTCCTGGAGGTGATGCTTTACCCCAAGGCTGCCAGAACAATCTTGGATATTTACAGCTGATCACCACTTTCATAAGGGATCCAAGCTTTAACGTTTCCCTTCCCATGCCTGTTTGCCACAGATCCCACCCTGGAGAGTTTCCCCACCCGTGAGCCACAGGAGCCACAGAATGGGCTCTTTTTCCAACCCCACAAACCCTTCCTTTCCCCACAAAACCAAGTCCCAGTGGGGAGAAGCTGTGTCAAGGCTCCCCAAGGGTGTGTCCTGTACCTGACCATCCCGGCAGGCAGCGGCAGTAGCCCGTGGTGGGGTGGCACCCGTCCGCGTGGCTGCAGTCACAGCGCTCAGCGCAGTCCATGCCGTACGTGCCGTCCTGTGCCAACAAAAAACACAACAGCCCTGAGCTGATGGCAGCTGGAAGCTGGAGGAGGACAAGTTATGGTCAGTCATGGTGAGTCCTGTCTCAAAAAGCAGCCACGGATCTCTCGTGAAGCTCCGGGCCAATCTCGGTGTAAAACGCTTCTGGCAAATGGAACATGTCAGCGTCCCACGCTTTGGTTGTTTCATTAAAGAGGGGAAGATAAAGAATTAATTACACCCTCTTGAAAAATCACAGACTAAAGCAATTACGTCTCCTTTCTGCATCAAACCCTGAGATCTATGTTTATGGGTCAAAAAGRGTACCACACACAGATATAATCTGAAAGAAAAGGAGTGAAAACCACTAAATTACAAGATACCTTCACTGTCAGTTCACTGCGTAAATAATGCAAACCACCACTTTCTTTTGATTAAAAACATTTCTCTTTTGATTAAAAACATTTCCCCCAGCACTACAACATCTATCTCATCAAAAAGAGAAAATCTTTAGCTATGGGACATTACACAAAACAAAACTTTTAATTTCACCTGTGCAATGCTTTTTGAGCGCACAAGAGAGATTAAAGTTACAAGTTCAAAGACCCCTGTCATTGTATTCAGCCGTGCAAAGCACRGCTGATCTTCATGGAAAACTTCTCAACATTTGAATTTGCTTTTCCTGCTTCTTCCATTAAAGGTGGCACACACACTTATGGATAATTTGACACAAGATCAACGTAAGAAACTGAGAAAAACAGGTTCTTTACAATTGCAATCTCCAAACAAGGCAAAGTACAAAARTAAATTGATCTTGGATAAAAAGTGTAAGAAGCAAATTTTAGAAAAAACAAAAAAAAAGGCATGAAAAAAAGCCAATATAATTTACAGTAATACTTCAGAGGTTACTCACAACAAAGACAGAAAGGGGAAAAAGGAAAAAAACATGTCAGGTCTAAACCCCAATCATTTAAATACAAGGCATTACATGAAAAATCTGAATAAAACTTATTTGAAAATTAATCTGCTGTTCTTTGATGTTCATGCATACATTCCAACCAAGTGCCACAGGATTTAGCTATTCAACTGCCAGTCTTTCAAGCCTAAAGCAGAACAAAATCTTACATTACTTCAGTGTAAGGAGCCTTTTGCTCATCTCAACAATACGTTTTTATGCACAGAAAAAAGGAAAGATTAAGCATTTCCTTTGCATATAATCAGATTTGGAATGAAAGGAAATCCTCAAATATGCTGTTGAAAAGCAGTATTTTTAGCCTGCTATGTACTTGGACCGCAGTCCAAACTGTAGTTCAAATTTTGAACAACAATCTGAGCAGTGATATTAATGTTCTGAAGTTACCGAAACAAATCRAAATGCATTGATTTAAATAAAGTCTCTGCTCAGACAAGAAAAACATTTCAGACAATTGGAAGTATTTCAATTAGCTTTTTGTTTATTCTCCAGCTCTGGAATTTTGAAGCAGAATTTGCATTTGAAGTAGGTAAATGCTTATGGACATTGTTTGATGGAGATGGAGAGAGGGAGACAATGAACATGGACATGCTAAATTATCTGACACAGAAATGCTTTTAGGCTTTGTTTTACTAAGTTTGGAGTAATGATGCAATGTCTCTGAAGCAATACATGTCTTTTTTAAAATGTCAGTTTTGGAAGCGCTAATGGAGCCTGGGAGGTCTCATCATCCTTCAGAATCAGGCACTGAGTCATAAACAAAGCTGCTTGAGGGAACAGAAAAATTAGTGTTTTGATGGAGATGCATTGTTGGAAATAGCACAGGTGGTACTGCCATCAGCTTTCCAGAATATGTTCAATTTTCTTTGCCACTTTACTCATTACATGAATGCTTCATGTTAAAACCAAAAGCAAAGCAACAAAAATCACGCCTCAGTGTTCTGAGTGCAGTTCAGCAGAACAAGTTTTCATTCAAAATGGGGGGTGATTTACAGTTTTCTGCTGTAGTTCAGCTACTCCCACCATATTATTGCCCAGCAGAGCTTGTCCAAACTGAAAAAGCTTAAATGTGAAATGAGAGGGGAATTCACAGGGTGTGTCTTCACTTCAGGTGAYTCCTTTGCAATTTCATCAAACCAACAACCTGCTAAGCAGATGTACTGCAAAAGTGAATGCATGATAGGGGGAGGGAAAAGAAGAGTACAGAGCACTTTATTTTAATGATTTTAATTATCATTAATTATCAACATTTTAATAATTTTGTTTTAAATTTAATAACTTAAAAAAAAACCCTGCAGTACCCTGCTGAAATAACAAACGCTAGAAAAACTRATTTTTTATAAAATATTTCAGTTTTGTGTACATGAAATATAATTGTAACCAGACAGTTACAAAAGAAATCCATTTGGATTAAAAAATTTAAACRTTTTTGAAAATATGTATTTGAATTTATATATTTTATGCCTGGGTGTTAAGAGTATCTTCTCATGTTTTACTGAGGTTCTTTATTCATACTGTAACACAAACATAAGAAAAAAGTAAYTAAAATGGCATTGCTTGATTTGGGGCATATTTTTGGTATTCTTCTCTCATAATTTACACTTAAAAGTAGTCAAACAGCAGGAGTTTGATAGCATTTGGTGGAAAATTGTCTGTGGAAGAATTGTCAGTGCATGTCCCTGACCCTGCACCCTGTGGACTCGTGCCACAAAGACAATAAACAACACACACATCTCCCCACCCAATATTCTCCGAAAAAAAATACAAAATTCAGTGAAATGATTAAACTACCTGGCAGGGCAGTTCACATTTCTCTCCTCTCCATCCCGGGGCACAGCTGCAGGTTCCATCCAGGGCATTGCAAGCCCCTCCATTGAGACACTGGCAGGTCAAGTTGCAGCCCAATCCCCACGTGCCACTGGGGCAGTTTATGGAGCAATCCACACCATGCCAACCTGCCAAAAAAAAGGGATTGAAGTCAGAAATTAATGAGGTTTTCCCTCGTTTCTCTCAGAGGATGGTTCTTTCTCCTGCCATGGGGCATTTCTCTGAGATGGGGTAACATCCACTGCTGGATTTATCAGCAGCTTCGACTCAGGGCTTGTCCGGGCTGGAACAAAGGTATTCAAGGGCACCTTGTAACATCTGTGCACAGCACACATCTGCASATGGGTGCCAGCCAACACGAAGGAGAGACTGATGGAAGATCTGAAAAGGAGATTAGAGACACCTTGACATTTCACTGAGAAGAACTAAACTGCACTGGGAGTGTTAAGGTGTAGCCTGAAAATAATTAGGAATATTTTCCCTAGGCTCAAGCTGCTGCTTTCACGGTTGTTCCACTAGCATTCAAACACAGTCCTGTAATATGGCTGCAATGGGTACATTAAAAAAAAAAACCAAAAAAAAAAAAAAAAAAAAAAACCAACCATGGAAGTATTGCATAAATTGGATTCTCCAAAGAAACACAGAAGACCTTTTGGATGATTTCTTCTTGCCAAATACAAAAAGAAACGTGATGGAAAACAGGTCTAAAATGCAGCATTCACCACTGATCATGTCTGATAGCAGTGATTTGCAGACTGCACACTGGACAGACTGAGATGTGAATAGATTTTTTGAAATGTGATCATCCATTTTATTCAGAGGAACAGTGTGAGGCAGTCATATGTTACCAGCACCAGTGACACAGGCCAAGTTTCTAATTTTGTACCTTGTTTACAGCAAGTGGAAGGAAAAATAATTCTGCACCGAGCCTGATCAATAGGCTATGCAAAACACATGCACAGAAATCAGGCTGCCTCGTGCTTCATTGATAACTTTAAATTTAGGGGTCATTTCAAGAAAAAAATGTTGTAACACACTGGCTGGGAAATTGAGACATCTGCCCTCAATTGTCTTCCCAGGATTTATAATTTTCCTTTGTTTACATCCCTGGTCAGGATTTGTGTGTGTGCCTGACCAAATTCTGCCTGAACCCCAGACAGACACAGACAAAAAACATTTTCACCTATTTAGACATTTTTAGTAAATCAAGACATTACTATTTATTGGTTCTAAACTATGTCATTTTCTCACAWTGATTAGCATTCTGTCCTYTATTGGTTATTGATTTTTTGCTTCTCATGCTAATTAGTCTTTTTTTCAGTCTTTTTATTATTTCTTCCCCAGGTAGGGAGTTTTCAACACACATATACTGAGCTTTCGTTATCTTCTTGTYTTCTTGATCTTCTGGTTGCTGCAAAATGTCCTTGCAGCCCATAAATTCTGCACTTCTTGCACTCAATTTGAACATCATCTCTCTCCCTGTCTCCCCAGGCTTTGTTCATTCAAGCATTATCAAGGTTAGGTAGTGAAAACTCAAAGTTTCAGTAACTTTTCCCAAGTTTTATTCCCACAACAGCTGCTGATGACGAACTTTGCTAAACGCTGTCTAAAATTTGCTAAAGATTCAAGACTAACACACTGCTTATAGTCAATATCCTGGATGTTATTAATTAAAAACAATTAATTAAAATTAATGAAAATGATTAATTAAAAAAAATTAGAAAAGTTACATCATTTTCAACAAAACTATTCAGGGATTCTGTATGGTTTTGAATAGGGCACACCCCACAGAACCTTCTGGCAGAGCAGAGTGCTTTCCTGAGAACTTTTTCCTTTTTTTTTACCTCCCAGAGCAGCAGAATCATCAAGTGTCTGCCTTTCGTGAAATTGCCTCTTCTCTACTTCAAAAACCCAGTTTCATTTTATGGTTACAGAGATGTAAAATCAATCTGAGGAGACACTTACCTGCTCTGCAGGCACAAGAACCATCCACAGGCGAGCAGGTGGCCCCATTTTTGCAGCTGCACACAGAGGAACARTTTACTCCGTATGTTCCAGGCAGACAAGGGGTACCACAAGAAGCACCCTGAATTATTATGAAAAAAAAGAAAAAAAAAAGAGAGTCTAAAAATGATCTGAGGAGGCTCAGACAATGCAACCTGGACTGACTGAAGTGGTACAAAAGCCAGAAAACATAAAGCCCATGCATGTCGCAGGCTGTCACTAAATTTTAAAGTAAATATTAATTTTCTGTAATTAGCTGTGAGAACTCAGACCACATAGGAAACACCACTGGTATAGATCAATAGACAGTAATAAAGAAGCTCTTTATGAAACTAAAATACAGCAAGGAAACAGTTTTATGGTAAACGATGTGGATATGTAAAATATTTTTAAGAGCTAATTTGGCTGAAGCTTTCACTTATTACTTGTACAAGAACAGTCATACTGTAAAATGTTAAATTAGCATCCAAAGCACATGTAACAGCAAATGTGTGCAAAAGTTGCAGAATAATCTGTCCTGAACTATAAAAAGAAGTGTTTTTGGATGGGGTTTCTGTGGATGGAGCATGAGAGGCTGATGACTGAAACCCACCATCCCTCCATTTGGTGTAACCATTTACTTACACCTCGACAGCTCATTCTCATTCTTACCAATATCTCATAAAGCAATTAACTTTTCCTAAAAATGGCTTCATTTCAGTGCTGAGAATCCTGATTTATATAAAAAATGGAGTCTAACAATCATCTGAAGAGGTTCAGAGAACACAGCCTAGCCTGACTGAAGTGGCACAACACTTGTGGCCATGAGAAATGTTTTTTCAGGGTGTTAGAGCCCATAGAGCAGCACCCCAATACGCTCTCTCGCCTTTTACTGTCATACAGAAAGGATGATGGGGGCACCTCGAGGAATTTCTCACCCCCCCACTGGGGGCGGTGGGGCTGAAAACTGTGAGACTGTGGGATTCATTCACCTTAAATCCAGGGGCACAGGTGCACTTTCCTGTGACGCTGTCGCAGTCAGCGCCGTTCTGGCAGCTGCAGATCTGCTGACACGACTCCCCGTAGAAGCCCGGTGAACACGTCTCGTTGCAGTAGAGTCCCGACCAGCCCGGCTTGCAGGAGCATTCCCCAGACATGGGGTGACAGCTGCCAGGGTGGGGGATGAAAGGTTAACTCAGTCATTTGGGACTAAACACCATACAAATGTTATTTTCTTTCTGTGAGACAAAGTGCTGCTGTGGACAGGTTTGCATGAAGGGCTCTGCATGAGATGATTTTACTTCCTGAGACAGAATTTTGTGTATTTATATAAAAATACATGCCAGTTAAGATAGGAAATGCAACATTATACAACATACAGACATTTTGGGAGGACGTGGAAATGAAGAGGTATTATTTTCTAGTATCTGAAAAGAAATTTTGCTAAAACACAGTTTTCACCATAAGGCAGATATTCATGGTGACAAATATTAACATGATTAATATTAAAYATTAAGTTAATTAAAGATTTAAATTAAATAGTAAATATTAAAACCGTAAAAATCCCCAAAATTTGTTGCTGTATTTCCACTCTAACAGGATCGTTTTTGTAACACTGCATAAGCTCAGCAGCACATTGTCTGAGAAACGTGATCAAGAAAAACAGCATGGCATCCAACACAAAACAACAACACACCACCCCATCCAAAGCAAGAACGTTCTTTCCTTCAAATTTCATTTAAATTGCATTTTGAAAGAGGACAACTGTCATCTTTCAGGGAGTGATAGAAAATCATCAGCACTGGGCAGAAGCCAGCTCCACCACGAGGGCAGTGACCTTTTGGGGAGTGTCTCCCCTCTCTGCTGGCCATACCTGGTGGCAGAGCAGCTGCCTCTACCTGGAACAGCAGCTTCATTGAAGGGCCAYGCAGGCAGCTGCTGCCTCCTAACAAATGGTCACCATCAGCTGTGCAAAGATATATGGRCTGGCAGAGGGGACACAATGGGGTTCTCTGTAGCACCCTGGCAGACAAAGCATTTGCTTAATTCTCACCAAAGGAAAGACTTAATATCCAAATCCAATATATTCACAATGGGAAGGCTGTTTAAGAGATATTTGCCTGCCACTGATTGAAGTGAAGCTCCTTTAAGAGTGCTGGAAATCTAAAAAAAAAAAAAAAAAATTGAATGCAGACCCTGAGCAACCTGGCTGAATTTTCCTACCTAAATTACTCAATGATTCTATGTTCTTTAGAAATCTAAAAAAAAAAAAAAAAAAGTGCCTTTTCCAGACAAATCAAATGACCCATGACAAGAGCCTGATTTTGCAAGACTTGCTGACTCTGTGCGGGGGYGTAATGAAAACTGAGTATTTTTCTGAGCATTTGGAAGTTTAAAAAATAGCTGCTGCACTTCTAGGTGCTCTAACAACAGCAATCTTTGAAGGAGTTGCAGCAAAGGAGGGAACACAGCATCAGYGGCAAATGCTCTTGGACTTGAGGACTGTCCTTGCCAAAGTAAGAGTTTAAAATTGCTGCAAACAGCCACTGCTAATCAGGGAAAAGCATGAATTGTAGAAGCTGGAACACTACTATGTATTCTGATTTCTACGTATCACCACATGCACTATGACACCACAAAAATCCGTGGGTCCTCAAGATAGTAAAGCACCTTTGACATCATTGAACTGGTTTACATAAAGTGAGAGGAAATGGTTTTTCATGCAGAAATGGTTCAAAACTCATGGCATTCATACTGAACACTCCTGGCTAATTGTTTAGCTATGAAAGAAATTAACTATTCTCATACAAAACATAAGCAAAATTGTGATGCAGCAAGATAAGCTAGTTAGTTCCCTATCCTAAATTACTGTGGGACCCCAAATTCCCATCAGTGGAAGAATACAGAGCA